TTGGTGTGGGCCTCTTGGGGTTCATCTTGTTTGGGACTCTGTGCTTCCTGGACTTGTATGTCTGTTTCCTTCACCAAGTTAGGAAAGTTTTCTGCCATTGTTTCAAACAGGTTTTCGATTTCTTGTTCTCGCTCTTCTCCTTCCGGCACCCCCAAGATGCGAATGTGGGCACGCTTGAAGTTGTCCCAGAGGCTCCTTACACTATCCTCATTTCTTTGGATTCTTTTTTCTTTTTGCTGTTCTGATTGGGCATTTTTTGCTTCCTTATATTCCAAATCGATGGTTTGCTCCTTGGATTTACGTACTCTATTATTGAAGCTGTGTAAATTATTCTTTATTTCAGTTAATGCCTCCTTCAATTCTAATTGTGTATCCATGATTTCTAACTGGTCCTTTTTTATGCTCTTGAGGCCCTCCCTAAGTACACTGAGGTTCTCACTAAGTTCATTGAGCATCCTTATAAGCAGTATTTTGAAGTCAGCATCTGTTAGGTTGCTTATCACCATTTCACTTAGTTCTTTTCTTGGGGTTTTGTTCTGTTCTTTCATTTGGGACCTACTTCTTTGTCTCCTATTTTGGCTGCCTCCCTGTGTTTGTTTCTGTGTATTACTTAAGAGGTATGCAGCTATCTGAGACCAGATGCTGTTGTTTGAAAAAATTTAGGAAAACCTGAAGCAGGATCCAAGACAGGCCAATCCTATGGTAAAGCAACTGGCAACAGCTTGGGTGGGCCTGAAAGTTGGGTGGGGCAGGGTGGGGCCTCAGGGAATCACCAGGGCGGGGCAACCAGTGTGAGCCAGGTTGCTGGAGTCCCAGATATGGCTGCTGTCTGCTGCCCCAGGGAAGGGCTCACCAAAGGAACAAAGGCCTCTGACAGCACGTTTGTCCCTGAGAAAGCCTCCTCTCCAGCCCTCGCACCAGTGCCATACAGCTCAGTACTTCCTTGTGTGTCTCTGGTGCCCCTCAAGCTGCCTCCCCTCCAAGCTTAGATGGAGTGAGTCTGATAAGTCCGTTTGCGGGCCATTTAAGGAGCTGCCTGGGGCTCCAGCCGCCTCAGCCTCCCTGAGCCTCAGTTTCTGCTGGTTTTTCCAGCCAGAAGTGATGGGGATTCTCTTCCTGGCACTGGAATCCTGAGCGGGGCACCTGGTGTGGGACGGGGACCCCTCAGTCCTCAGGGAGGACCTTCCCAGCCAAGGTGTTCTGATTTTATCCGCCACACGTGGGTGTGAGACCAGCCCATCTGCCTCCGCCCCTCCTACTAGTCTGGATGTGGCTGCTGCTTTAATCCATAGTTGTAGGACTTCCATTCAGCTTGATTTCAGGCAGTTTTGAATGATGGTTTTTCTGTAGTTTAGTTGTAACTTTGATGTGGTTGTGGGAGGACGCGATACCATGTTTACCTACTCACCATTTTGACTGGAAGTCTCCCATTTTCTTTTTAGAGAGTAAAGAAGGGAGGGTGAAAGAGATAGAAACATTGATGTGAAAGTAAAACACTGTTCGGCTGCCTGCTACACTTCCCCTACCTGGGATCATGCCTGTAACCCAGGCATGGCCATGACTGTGAATTGAACTGGTAATCTTGGGTTGCCTAGGATGACACCCAACCAACTGAGCCTCATTGACCAGGGCTAAGAAGATCTTTCTCATGGAAGGGTGTATCTTCTGTCTTGCTGTTTTTAGAATTTTATTTTATTTTTTTACAGTTTCATTATAATATGTGTTTAGTGTGTCTCTGAATCTATCCTGCGTGTTATTGAGAGTCTGTTTTATTTTCGATATTTTGTTCAGACAGAGTGGGAGGGAGGGAGAGAGAGAGAGAGAAACATCGACGTGAAAGGGACACATCAAGTGGTTGCCACCCGCAAGACCAACCAGGGCCGGGGACAAACTGCAACTGAGGTACCTGCCCTTAGTGGGAACCGAACCTGGGTCTCTCGGGACCACAGGCCAATTCTCTAACCGCTGAGCCAAACCGGCTGGTCTGAGAGATTCTTTCTACCCCTTTTTCTCTCTCTTCTCATTTTCCCACATGCATATTGGTCCACTTGATGGTGCCCCACACATCCCTTCAGCTTTGTTCAGTTTCTTCTTATTTGCTCTTTGTTCTCTGACTTGATCATTTCAATTGTCCTATGTATCGATTAACTGATTCTCTCTTCTACTAACTCAAATCAGTTGCTGTACTTTTGAGTTCCAGAATATTGAAGATACTTCTATTTCTTTATTAATATCTTGATTTTGTTTATACATCCATTTCCTGCCATTGTCCATGTTTTCCTTTATACTGTGAGGATTTTTAAGGTAGTTGTTTAAAGTCTTTGTCAGTAAGAAGCCATCTCTGCTTCCTTGCTATGTTTTCAGGGGATTTATTTGTATTTTTAATACCAAAGAAAAACATGTGGGTTCTTTGAACCTACCAGAAGCCCCTTCAGTCTGGTGATTGGAAAATGCAGCCTGCCCCCGGGTTGCACCTCGGTGATGGAGCAACAGGTGCTGTCAGAATAGCGCCCAGACTGGGGGACAAGGTCTGCGTGCCCACCCTGGCTCCCTGAGCCACCCCAAAAGAGTCGCTTCAGAGTTCCTGTCTGCAGTGGTCCCGGTGGAGGGGTCCCTGCGTTTCCTCCGCTGCCATCTTCTCTGGTTTCCCCTCTTTGGTTTCTCTTTAAACTCCCTTGGGGAGCCCTCTCAGTTAAGTAATTCATTGCTAATTGTTTGTTCCTCTGGCCTCGTACACTTCTCTGTGCGTCTTCACAGTGTGCATCTTCACAGTGTAGCTGCCGTCCCCACTCGACTGCTCTGTCCTCAGTGTCTGACACATAGGGGACATATCAAGAATGTTTCAAATACATTACAGCAACTTAATCTGAGAAGGACAGTACCTCTCACAGGGCCTCTGTCTGATGAGCTGTGATACCTAGCTGGGCTGGCCCAGGCGGCTCAGGGAGCGTGGGGACAACTGTGTGGTCATCTGCACGTCACCTGTCTGTGTGACCTGTCCTGTGGAGGTCACTGTCTGGCTCTAATAATAACTTCAGGAGAAGAGTTGCCAGGTCAGTTGCAAGCAAGATGGGTGGGACCGACTTATCAGACTCTCTCCCTCTACGTTCGGAGGGGAGGCAACTCGAGGGGCGCCAGAGACATACAGGGAAGAACTGAGCTGTTTGGCACTGGTGCGAGGGCTGGAGAGGGGGCTTTCTCCGGGACAAATGTGCTGTCAGAGGCCTTTGTTCCTTTGTTGAGCCCTTCCCGGGGGCCGCAGACAGTCGCCATATCTGGGACTCCAGCAACCTGGCTCACACTGGTAGCCCCGCCCTGGTGACTCCCTGAGGCCCCGCCCCACCCAACTTTCAAGCCCACCCAAGCTGTTGCCACTTGCTTAACCATAGGATTGACCTGTCTTGGATCCTGCTTCAGGTTTTTCCTAAATTCTTTCAAACGAGCAGCATCTGGTCTCAGCGAGCCCCATACCTCTCATTAAGTAATACACTGAAACAAACACAGGGAGGCAGCCAAAATGAGGAGACAAAGAAGTAGGTCCCAAATGAAAGAACAGAACAAAACCCCAAGAAAAGAACTAAGTGAAATGGTGATAAGCAACCTAACAGATGCTGACTTCAAAATACTGCTTATAAGGATGCTCAATGAACTTAGTGAGAACCTCAGTGTACTTAGGGAGGGCCTCAAGAGCATAAAAAAGGACCAGTTAGAAATCATGGATACACAATTAGAATTGAAGGAGGCATTAACTGAAATAAAGAATAATTTACACAGCTTCAATAATAGAGTACATAAATCCAAGGAGCAAACCATCGATTTGGAATATAAGGAAGCAAAAAATGCCCAATCAGAACAGCAAAAAGAAAAAAGAATCCAAAGAAATGAGGATAGTGTAAGGAGCCTCTGGGACAACTTCAAGCGTGCCCACATTCGCATCTTGGGGGTGCCGGAAGGAGAAGAGCGAGAACAAGAAATCGAAAACCTGTTTGAAACAATAATGGCAGAAAACTTTCCTAACTTGGTGAAGGAAACAGACATACAAGTCCAGGAAGCACAGAGTCCCAAACAAGATGAACCCCAAGAGGCCCACACCAAGACACGTCATCATCAAAATGCAAAAGGTTCAAGACAAAGAGAGAATCTTAAAAGCAGCAAGAGAAAGGCAGCTAGTTACCTACAAGGGAGTTCCCATTAGGCTGTCAGCTGATTTCTCAAAAGAAACTTTGCAGGCCAGAAGGGAGTGGCAAGAAATATTCAGAGTGATGAAAAGCAAGAACCTACAACCAAAATTACTCTATCCTGCAAAGCTGTCATTTAGAATCGATGGCCATATAAAAACTTTCCCAGACAAGAAAAAGTTAAAGGAGTTCATCACCACCAAACTGTTATTATATGAAATGATGAAGGGCCTTTTTGAAGTAAATGATAAAATATATGAACAAACAAAATGGCAATGAATACATATCTATCAACAATGGAATCTACAAACAAAATGAACAGGTAGAACAGAAACATTCTCATAGATACAGAGAACATTTTGTTGGTTGCCAGATGGGAGCGGGTTTGGGGAAATGGGTGAAAAAGGTGAAGGGATTAAGAAGTACAAATTTGTTACTAGACTGACAAATCTCAAAGGGAAAGGGGTTGGGGAGGTGGAAAGAAATAAACCAAAGAACTTATATGCATAACCAATGAACACAGACAATAGTGTGGGGAAAGGCCGGAGGGAGGCGGGAGTGGGGAGGAGGGGGTCAATGGGGGGAAAATGTGGAACATCTGTAATACATTGTACATTCAACAATAAAGATTAAAAAAAAAAAGATGGGTGAGACCCTCCAATCAAGTGTCTTCGGAGGAGGGCTGCCTCCGGTGTGGGTTCGGAGGAGGGGGCTGCAACCAGTGGGTTCATGCCCGGCGCGTACTCCAGGACTCCGAACGGCAGGGACACGTGGCTGACGTGGCCTGTCACTCAGTGTGCAAGTGGTTTCTGTCCTGACCAGGTGCAGACACACACGCCTCACACGGTGACTTTCGACCTGGCCGACACGGGGACCGTGGTAGCAGCGGCGGCTGAGATCCTGCAGCGCTTCGGCCGCGTCGACGTGCTCATCAACAACGCGGGCGTCAGCTACCGCGGCGCCATCCTGGACACCGCCCTGGACGTGGACCAGAGGGTCATGCAGACCAACTACTTTGGCCCAGTGGCTCTAACGAAAGGTAACAGTCTTCGGTGAAAGAAAAAGAACAGCGACAGGCTGGGTCTTGACTTCACGGTTCCTGTTAGCTAGGGGATCCAGGCCTCACCCTGCCCCGCCCGGAAAAGGTGCCGTGATTTGCCTCTCGCTGCTCGCTTCTCCCACTTCTGGCGTTTTTCCTACCTGCTCTCTGGCCGTAAACCGAGATGTCCTCGGTGACGGCGTCCTGTGTGAGCATCGCCTGTTATCCCCGGGTGGGTCTGCCCCCAGGTCCAGGTCCGCCCCAGGCAGGGGCTCCCAGAGGGAGGGGCTGTCTGCCGCTGTGTCCTCCCCTCCTCCGCCTGCGGGCTGCGGGGTGTCTGCGGGCCACAGGAGGCCCACAGCTCCAAGGGACACGGCCCCCCCCATCCGGGCCGGCCCGTCACCTCCCTTGCTCCGATGACGGCTGGTCAGCGAGGCCTGGGCGCCGGGCGCAGCGCCGGAAGGAAAGCCCCCCTCTGAAGCCCCTCTCTCCTCAGCGCTCCTGCCCTCCATGACCGCCAGGCGGCGGGGCCACGTGGTCGCCATCAGCAGCGTCCAGGGCAAGATCAGCGTCCCCTTCCGCTCAGCATGTGAGTGCTCCCCCCCCAGGTGCCATCGCTCGTCCCTCCTGGCGGCAGAGATGCCGCACTTCTACCCAGGATTCACACACTGCAGAACATGAAGGAACTTCACCAGAGTGTGTTCTGAGCAGACTGCGTTCAAGTCCCAGCTCTGCTCCGTACCCCCAAGTGTGACCTTGTCCAGGTGCCCCCACCATGCCGCACCCTAGTCCTCACCGGCACAGGGACACGGTGCAGCCCCACCTTGGCGGCCCCTAGAAAGAGGAGCTGATCTGCGGGCAGTGCACGCCTGTGTGGGCGGGGCACAACGGTGGGGGGCGGGGCATGCCTGTGGGGGCGGGGCACACCTGTGTGGGGGCGGGCACTTCTTGGGGGGAGGGTGCACGCCTGTGGGGGCAGTGACCCAACACCGCTGGCCCCAGCCCTGTCACTTCCCATCACTGGGTGTGAGCCTCGGGCTTTCTCTGCATGGGATCCCACATACGGAATCGGTCACATCGTGGCTTATTTCACTTGATAGTATATCTTTCTACATTAGCATATATGGACTTATCTAACCCTTTTAAGTGATATATAGTAATTCATTGAATGGATACAACGTAATTTATTTAGCCATTTTCTTTTTTTTTTTTTTTTTTTTTTTAATCCTCACCTGAGGACATTTTGTTCAGATAGAGTGGGAGGGGGGGAGAGAGAGAGAGAAACATCGCCGTGAAAGGGACACATCGAGTGGTCGCCACCCACACAACCCAACCAGGGCCGGGGACAAACTGCAACCAAGGTACGCGCCCTTAGCGGGAACCGAACCCGGGTCTCTCCAGACCGCAGGCCAACGCTCTAACCGCTGAGCCAAACCGGCCAGGGCTATTTAGCCATTTTCTTTATTGACTTTAGAGAGAGATGAAGGGAGAGGGAGAGAGCTAGAAACATCGATGAGAGAGAACATTGATTGGCCGCCTCCTGCATGCCCCTCAATGGGGATCAGGCCCACAACCTGGGCATGTGCCCTGACCAGGAATCGATCCAGTGACTATTTGGTGTGTGGGTCGACGCTCCACCACTGCGCCAGGCTTAAGGATTTTTTCCCTTCAGTCTTTGACCGTTAACAATGATGCACTACACAGACATCCTTAAACATGTGTATGTCTAGGCACTTGTGGGAGGGTTCTGATGAGATAAGTCCCCCAAAGTGGAAATAGGTAGAACCAAATAATGAAAACCCCACACTGACTCTCGGTTCACATGCTCCCCTCCATGTGTGAGGGGCTGTGCCGGGTGTCGAGGTGTCACTCCTCATCCGCCTGCCGTCCCGGAGCTCCAGCAAGCAGACAGCCTGTGTTCTTAGGTGAAAAGCTTTCAGAGGCAGTTTCACAAACTGTCCTAGTAACTCCTTTCTTTGCTTCACCTGGAAGTAAATTCTCACAACTGGCTCATCTGCTCTCCCCACCTCCAAACACTAGACTCAGCCCCGCTCAGCCACCTTGGCAGAGGAGGGGGGTGCAGAGCCGCTTGGCCAGGGAGCAGAGCTGCTTGGCAAGTGAGGTGGGGGGAGCAGAGCTGCTTGGCCGGGGAGAGGGGTGGGGGGAGCAGAGCTGCTTGGGCAGTTTGACTGGAGCAGACACCCAACCGGGTTACCAGGTGACATGGGGTAGCCACCTGTCTGAACTGGAAATGGAGCAGAAACTTATTGTCTGCCTGTTGGTTGGAGGTGTGTGTCCACAGGCAAGGTATGTAACTCGGTGACAGCTTCCTTTCTGAGAAAAGGAGACAATGGTGATGAAAAGTCCTTTGTAAATTGTGCAGCACTGTATCCATGTTGGGTCTCTGGTGGTTACTTTTGTTTCAACTCCAGCAGCACAGGGCAGGCTGCTCAGGTGGCTGGGGAGTGAATGTATGTATGTAAAATCACAAGTGATAAAGGAAATGTGGCAAACTGTTCATGATAGGTAAGTCAGGATAAAGGGCACACTGTGTTCTTGGTACGAAATTGCTTCCAGACTTGACTTTGATTTAATCAGAGTTTTGCTCTCCACTTGGCCGGTGACTGAAGTGAGTCACAGTGGTTGGTCTGGGCCCTCGAGCAGCCACTCCTCAGCTGTGAGACGGGGTGCTCTGTCTCTTCACACTGCTGTCCTGAGGGCCACACAGACTGGCCGGGGGAACTCCGAGCCCTGTGACGTCACGGTGACGCTCAGGCAGCACAGCCTGGCTGAAGACCTGAGAGCTCGGGGGCTCACTGTGCGGGTGCAGCCTCTCTTCTGGGGACCCCTGGGATGACTCCCTCTTCTCAGTCCTTGGGCCTGGGCAGCACTCCTGGAATCCTGGCTGATAGGAGCAGTTCTCCCACCCCCAACCCCCGAACTACCCATCCAGCCCCAGCAGCTTGGCCCAAACCAGAGAAGCTGGCCCGGAAGGCGCACTGCAAGTTCAGGCACGGGTTTCTCATGTGGCACTTCCTGCGCTTCCCCTTCCTGTTTTATTGGCTGATGGGTGCCCTTTTCCTGAGGGGACATCTTGCACCCTGCGTGGGGGAAAGTGATTTCCAGTGGCCACGCATGTGTTTCCCAAATGTCCTTGTGGGTCGCCGTGCGCCCCCCCCCCCCAGGCCCCTTCCTGGCCGTGGAGCCTCCCTGAGGCACAGAGGGCTCCATGTCTCGGGGTGGGGAGCGTCACCGGGTGAGAGCCCCGCTCGGAGTCTGTCAGGAGGAACACAGAGAGCCGGTTGGACTGGAGGCCCACGCTCCACGCGTGCGGAGCGCTCACTGGTAGCACTCTCCTGTGGTGGAGCCGGGACCGCTTGGGCCGGTCCGCTGATGGGCCTGCCTAGCCTGCTGACGCCAGGTGAAGAAAGCTACTGGCGGGAACAGCAGTATGAAAACACGAGCTTATTTCTGTGAACAATTCCTTATATGTCAGATTACATACATGCACATAGGGCTTTTAAAGAATAAATCCTGAGAGACCATTAGCACTGGTTACCTCTGAAGAAGGAAATTGGAAGGCAGAGGACTTTTACTTTTTTCTTTATATCCTCTGTATAATTTGAATACTTTACCTATTAGGCATTAAGTTGGGGACTTAAAAAAAATTTTTGTTTTGGGCCCTGGCCAGTTTGGCTCAGTGGTTGGAGTGTCAGCCCGAGGACCAGTGAGTCTCAGGTTCAGTTCCGGCCAAGGGCATATACCTTGGTTGTGGTTCATTCCCCACTCTGGTCAGGTCGTGCAGGAGGCAGCCAGTCGATGTGTCCATCTGACATCAGTGTCTCTTTCTCCCCTTGTCTCCCTCTCCCTCCTTCCCACTCCATCTGAAGATAAATGGAAAAATATCCTTGGGTGAGGTTTAAGAAACATTTTTTTTGTTTTTGTTTTGGGTTTTTTTTTTCCATTTGTTTGTTTATTTATTTATTTAATCCTCATCCGAGGACATTTTTCCATTTTTTTGTTCAGATAGAGTGGGAGGGAGGGAGAGGAAGAGAGAGAAACATTGACGTGAAAGGGACACATTGAGTGGCTGCCACCCGCATGACCCAACCAGGGCCGGGGACAAACTGCAACTGAGGTACATGCCCTTAGCGGGAACCGAATCCGGGTCTCTTGGGACTGCAGGCCGACGCTCTAACCACTGAGTCAAACCGGCCAGCTCTGGGGTTTTTTCCTTTTAAAGTGGAATCATTTCTGGCTTATAGAATAGGTGCAGGAGCAGCACAGAGAACTCCCACTGCACCCTTCGTGCAGACCCCGTGCTGAGGTCTCACCACATTGCTTCACCGTGCTCTGTGCATGTGTGCGCGTGCATGGGCAGATGCGCATGGGTGTGTGCTTGCATGCATGTGTGCATACATGTGTACGGGTGTGTGCATGTGTATGTGCGTGGGTAGGTATGTGTGTGCATGTGCACGCAAGTGTGTGTGCATGACATTTACCACGTTCCTTACTGAACCATTTGAAGAAGTTGGAGACATGTTACTCTTTTCCTCTGAAATACTTCAGGGTGTTCCCAATAACAATGGCATACTCTTCTTCTCTAAATTAGGAGAGAACATTGCTATAATATTGTGGTTTCATCATCTTAAATCATAGCCAGTTTTCTAAATGAGAGTCAGTGGGGTGAATATGTGGTCTTATCCCAGGCCACGACCCCACCAGCTCACTCACCTGTCTCTGGCCACCAATCTTTGCAGACGCAGCCTCCAAACACGCAACCCAGGCATTCTTTGACTGTCTGCGCGCCGAGATGGAGCAGTATGCAGTCAAGGTGACTGTGATCAGCCCCGGCTACATCCACACCAACCTCTCTATAAATGCCGTCACTGCCGACGGGTCCAGATATGGAGGTGAGGCCCCGGTTTCTCTTCTCTTGTACAAAAAGCTGCTGGTTGGTCACAGTGAGACATTGGGCTCTTAGTTGAATATAATTTTAAAATGAAAACACTTATATATGGGTGTTGGTTATATATACCAGAGAATAATCATTTACCTTGAACCATCCCTTTGCAGCTACCAGAACAGGACTTGGGGGGCTGGCGAGGGAGTCCCCAAGCTGAAAAGCTGCCAGACTTCGCCGAACCCATTCTCAGTGAATTAAAGTGAAGTTAGCATGAATAAACCTCAAGGAAACTATGGGTTGTGCTTGACCCAGGAGGTTCCCTACCCACTCTGCTTGAGAGAGAAATGATTTCAGGGTACTCCGAGCAACAAGCTGTCTCCTGGGGTGAGGCTGGGGCACCTCTCAGACTCACCCTCTTTCCGCAGCCAGAGCTGTGCTGACCTGCGGTCACCACTAGTGGGCCCCGCTGCCTGGCCCCGGATGCAGGCTCAGGGCAGGCAGAGACCAAGTGGTTTCTGCCTCTTGGGTAGGTTGGCCCATGGGTGCTACTGCTGTGGCAGCTTTGCGTTCCCGAGCTTGGCCCGGGCCTGCTTTGTGCTGAGTGCTGCCTCCCTGGATGTGGTATCTTGGGCCTCCTCCTGGCCCTGCACCCTACCCCAACCAGACCTGAACCAGGACTGCCCGTGCCCTGGGTGGCCGCTGCTCTCAGGAGGCGAGTCCCTAGGAACCAGGCAGAGGCATCGACCCAGAGGGAATCGTATTTATATTACTTATCCTTAGAAGAATCTTTTTAAAAACTCCCTCTGGGCATTTAAAATTAAGCAACCACTAGAAATCTCCCATTTGTCTGCATTAACAAAAACAATGACAGCAGGAGCCAGTGGGCAGCTCAGGCAGTCTGGACCACTTGCGAATGGTCTCTGAGGGTCTGAGGGGCCAGTGGGCAGCTCAGGCAGTCTGGACCACTTGCGAATGGTCTCTGAGGGTCTGAGGGGCCAGTGGGCAGCTCAGGCAGTCTGGACCACTTGCGAATGGTCTCTGATGGTCTGAGGGGCCAGTGGGCAGCTCAGGCAGTCTGGACCACTTGCGAATGGTCTCTGAGGGTCTGAGGGGCCAGTGGGCAGCTCAGGCAGTCTGGACCACTTGCGAATGGTCTCTGAGGGTCTGAGGGGCCAGTGGGCAGCTCAGGCAGTCTGGACCACTTGCGAATGGTTTCTGATGGTCTGACGTGGCCTCTCTGGCCCTGCTTTGTTGGCCAAGTTGTCAGATTACCAGGAAAGAAGCAGCACCAGTTACTGTTAACCAGCCTAACCCTCCGAAAGTCCCCACAGCTCCCTCTAACACCCAGACAAACCAGGGATTCCTTCCTGTTCCACATCCACTCGACACCACCCAGGGAACTGGGCCTGCTTCTGACTCACCACTGCGCATCCACTTCGGTGAGCGCGGGGTACAGGTGGGGTCACAGCCCTCTCCCAGCCCTCTCCCAGCTCTGGCGGGCAGACCTCAGGCGAGGTCACCCAAGTGAATCCATGGCTCTACTTCCTTAGTCAGTGGTGGTTTCAAAAGGCAAAAGCCCTAAGGCCAGGAAGCGCCTCCTCGGCTGTGGTGTGAGGGGCTGACTCTGCGACCCCATCTGGACTGGGCCCCATCTCTGTGTAGACCAGCTGTGAGCGCTGACTGGCCCATCTCCCTGGCTCCCCGTCCACCCACGTCTTTACCCCGCTCACACACACTGAGTGCAGGACAGGTGAGGTGGTGGTGCCCTCCTGCCTCCTGGCCGACCGCGGGGAGCTACACGATGGGAAATCTGGCGAGCCAGCCGGACGATGGGCCACGCCGCTCAACCTGGGAGAGGGGCGTCTGCTTCCGAGCTCACGTGTTTCTCGTTTCTTTTAGTTATGGACAAGACCACCGCCCAGGGCCGAATGCCTGTGGAGGTGGCCCGAGATGTTCTGGCCGCTGTGGGGAAGAAAAAGGAGGACGTGATTCTGGCCGGCCTATTGCCTTCCTTGGCCATTTACCTGCGAACTCTGGCTCCCGGGCTCTTCTTCCGCCTCATGGCCTCCCGGGCCAGAAAGGAGCAGAAACCCAAGCACTCCTAGTGCCACACGGAACTGGGTGTTTGCCTCACAGGTGGGAGGATGGAGATGCACTTCCCCTGCAGACCCCTGGCTGGAGGAGAATGGGAAGCAGTGGTCCTTGGGTAATAAATGTGGAGCTGGGTTTCCATGCGAAGACCACGTGATGAGTGGCTGGAGCAGCACAAGTCAGTCCTCAGGCCCAGCACAGCGTGCCTCCTGCGGCTGCGGCCTCCGCCAGCTCCTGGGAAGCGCTTCCATTGTTAAGTTGCAGACGTCCTGACGTCACCTTTACCTCCCTGTTTCCATGTCTGAGCACCCAAGACCACTTGCCCACTGTGTTGGCAGCGTCCACTTCCAGCACTAAAGGGAGAGGCTCTGCTCTATTGAAGTTGTTTTTCCTTTATTGACTTTAGAGAGAGAGGAAGGGAGAGGGAGAGACAGAGAAACATCGATGAGAGAGAACATCGACTGGCCGCCTCCTGCACGCCCCCCTCTGGGGATCGGGCCCATAACCTGGGCATGTGCTCTGAGCAGGAATCGAACCAGTGACCTCTTGGTGCAGGGCCCACGCTCAGCCACTGAGCCACGCCGGCCGGGCGGAAGGCTCTGGTTTGAATGTCGCCGCTCATGTCCCCAGGGTCCTGCAGCCTCTCACCCAGCACAGCAAGTGAGCCAACACGTGGTCCATCATTCGATACAACCCAGGGGACACTGGCATTGGTGCCGGGAAGAATTCCCGCTTCCCAGTGGGACCAGGCGCCACTCCAAGCAGGAGATGGGTTTCCTGAGAAGAAGCAGCTGCTGGGGAAGGAGCGTCCCCCCGAATCCCTGGTACCCTGGACATGAGACTCGGAAGCCGGTCAGGTGCGAGGGTTCTCTCCGGAGCAGCACCTGCCTCCTGTGGGAACTGCCCTGTCACTGCCAGTCGGGTGGCACAGAGGGTGCCCGTGTCCCCCTTCTGACTTACTAAAGTACACGGTGGGGCCCTGGTCAGGGTGACTCAGCAGTCAGAGCATCGGCCTGCGGACCAATGAGTCGCGGGTTCAATTCCAGTCAAGGGCACGTACCTGGGTTGCAGGTTCAATCCCTGGCCCTGGTCATGGTCATGTGGGAGGCAACCAATCGATGTGTCTCTCACCCGCCCTCCCTCCCTCCCACTCTATCTAAAAATCAATGGAAAAATATCCTTGGTGAGGATGAACCACAACAAATCTCATAGCACTGTTTCCTCCATGGTCTCCTCTTGTGGACCTGGGGGCTTGTGTTTAAGCAGCTACTCCCTAAATAAAATGGCCAAAGCCCACTGTGGTTTGGGTGTTCAAGGTTCTCAGGTTCCCTGACTGTGGGAAGACGGGGAGTGGGTTAGACCTGGCGACCGAGCCGGCTCCCAGCACGGCTGACGCTCCAGGAGCCCGTGGCTGAAACGTGGACAGATGTGCGTGCTTTCACGTCCCTCAGAACCACCTCCCCGCCCCGACACGGAGGGGCTCCTGGTGTTCGCATCAGGGAGGAGCTGGCCCGGCCTGCGTCAGGTACAGTCGCCAGGTGCACAGCCGCTCCTCAGCGAGGCGGTGACGTCTCGTCCCTGGGGACGAGGGAGCCTCTGCCCGGACACTGCTGGCTAGTGCTTTCAAAGGGCCATGTCCGGGAGCTGTCCTATCCTCCCGTTAAGGAAAACGGTCAGCGCTGGAGGCCATGCGACCCCCCACCCTCTAAGGACTGCAGGTTAGCAGCACCCGCTCCGTCCACAGCATGGGCATGTTGCTGAGGTTGCTGGTTTCGGAGCAGCTGTGGCCTGCCAAGCCCTGAGGGGTGCGACTGGGGAGCAGCTTCGGGCAGACGGGGGAGTCTCAACGTACACGGGACACTCGAGTGCTTCTGAAATACCATGAATGTGTACTTACCTAAGAACTCAACTCTAAGACTTGCTGTAGAATCTTTGTTCTACTGTATAAATAGAAAATCACAGAACACAAACAGAAGCATTAACATCTGCTGTCTGCCAGAGGCCAGGTCCAAGGCATCTGGACGAGGCCGCAGTGTTAGAGGTGTCACAGATGCGCCTGCGTGGCCACAGAGCCCAGGGAGAGGGCTGAAGGGCCGTGCCTCGGGCTTCTGGGGTGTCCCAGGCTGTCCCGGAGGGGGCACTGCTGGGGGAAGGGGCTGAGCCTGCCGAGCTGTGACTTGGGTGCCGGCACCCTGCCCAAGGGCACCCAGACATGGGAGCTGGGCCAGGACTGGCCTTCGGCTCGGAGGCCCACAGCTGTTTGCATAGAACTGCCTCCAGGTGTAGTGGTGGTGGTTTCTCCTCTGTCCTCAGAGGTGGTTTTCCCATCTTTCATCCCTGACTTCCTGGGTAGGTGTGGAAAACACAATTCTGCATTCACTCTGCCTCCGGACAGTTTAAAGGCACTTTCCACGTTACCCTTGGAGATTGCTGGTGTCTGGCTGGTCGCATTTCGTGCCGAAATCAGTCTGAAAAACAAAACCTACAGAGTTTCTCCAGACAGCAGCACCGCACATCTGCAGTGCAGAGGGCTGGCAGCTCACGCGTGAGGGGAGGTGGGCACACTGCCAGGCGCCGGCGGACCGGCAGCCGTGAGCCAGGAGGAGCGCTGCTCTGCTAGGAGCAACAGGCCGGACAGATGGTCTGCCACCGAGCAGCTGGCCTGACACGAGTGAGGCAGGCCCTGCAACACGGCTCGGGTACGAACCCAGCTGCACAGTCCAGGCAGCCCAGCAGTGCCCAGGGCTCGTGCACGTGGTTTGCAGAGGGCCCAGCGGACCTGGCCTCTGCTCTCCCCCCGTTGGCCATGATTTAACGTTTCAAGAGCACTATGCGCATCACAGGTGAGCGTTACCCTGCCGGTGATGTCCCCACAGGTGACAGAATGGGTAAGTCAGCATGAGCAGAGGGCGGCCATCCAGACAGGGGAGCTCTGCCCGCGAGGCCAGGAGCACAGACCCCTGCCCGTGGTCCAGCCCCGTCCTCACCTCTTCCAGCAGGACACATGTTCAAGGTGGCACTTCAGTCTGGGTTCGTCCAGCCAAGTCACTTTGTTCAGAGCTCCTGGCTGCTGCAGCTGGGCACCTCCCCCTCCTGCTGGCCTGGGGGCCTCTGCGGGTCTGCAGCTGGGCACCTCCCCCTCCTGCTGGCCTGGGGGCCTCTGCGGGTCTGCAGCTGGGCACCTCCCCCTCTGCTGGCCTGGGGGCCTCTGCGGGTCTGCAGCTGGGCACCTCCCCCTCTGCTGGCCTGGGGGCCTCTGCGGGTCTGCAGCTGGCCGCCTCCCCCTCCTGCTGGCCTGGGGGCCTCTGCGGGTCTGCAGCTGGGCGCCTCCCCCTCTGCTGGCCTGGGGGCCTCTGCGGGTCTGCAGCTGGCCACCTCCCCCTCCTGCTGGCCTGGGGGCCTCTGCGGGTCTGCAGCTGGCCGCCTCCCCCTCCTGCTGGCCTGGGGGCCTCTATGGGTCTGCAGCTGGCCGCCTCCCCCTCTGCTGGCCTGGGGGCCTCTGCGTGTCTGCTGCTGCCGCCTCCCCCGACTCTGACCTGCAGGCAGGGTGTGGGGGTCCCTGTCCAAACCTAGGCACTGCATCAGCAGCCGCCACTCCCACCCAGTCAGACGTCCGCATCGTCTGGCACTGAACAGTCAAGATGGCTGGTCTGGATCTACCAGTCTCACCCAACAGCATTCTGGCCCCTGGCATTCAATTAATAGTATCTCTAGGGCCCTTGGAATCGAGTCAGTTTCTCAGCCTGATGGCCACGGGTCCATTTGGTTTGGTTTGGTTTTGAATTTTTGAGTTTATTTGAACCAGACTGACAAGGCCCAGGAACAAGATCCCAAATCTTCTTAAGCTCTGGCTCTCCTCTGCCCAGCATGGCCTCACCCCTGATGCCTGTGCCCCCGTCATTCCCCTCTGGTGTGACCCTCAGGTGGACCCTTTAGCAGAGGTGAAAGTCAGGGTGGCCCACTAAGGACAGGGCTACGGAGCACCTCGAGGGCGACCGAGCACAGGTCTCGGGCCGGGCCCGACTGTGGAGGGTTATTTCCCATGCATGCGATGGTGCACAGCAGGCCTCTTGGGGGAGGGAGGAGCACCCTCGGCTCCAGTGCAGCAGGGAACCCGGCAGGCAGCAGGGGTGCTTGGGGGCTCCTCCCCCGCCCAGGCCAGTGGCTGAACTCAGGGAACACACCAGGAACAGCTTGGGTGCTTAAAACATGCAGATGTGTTTCTGTGTCCTCCTAAATCAGAATCTGCACAAGAGGTCACAGGCCTGTTCACCACATGAACCCAGAGAGAGAGACCCAGTGACCCAGGCCTTGTGACCCTATCGCACCACATCCCGAGCAGCACTTGGCCACGCTGGCCTTGGAAACGGCCGAGGGGCCATGAGCATGCTCTGGATGGCGTCTGGCCCTGGGCCGCGTCCGGAGGCCTGTTCTTGCTGCCCGTGCTGACACCAGGCTGTGGTCAGGAGCAGGCACCTCGGGGTGCCTCCCACCAGCAGGCAGCAGCGGAGTGATTGGCAGTCAAGGAAAGGAAAGACACTGGAGCTGAAATTCTCATAATTTTAATGGTCAACAGCTTCTGGTTGGCTCTGGATGGTACAGTTAACAACAGACTTGGAGACCCCACCCCACGCACTCACCCCTCAGCTCCCATCAGCACTGCACTGCCCAGTCAGACGTCCACAGCTCAGACTCCCCGTGGGTTACGGAAATCCACATCTTAGTGTGACGCGTTGAAAAACCCTTGGTACATTTGTGATCTGTGCTATTTTTTAAAAATAACAACTATTAAACCAAACACTTTCCCAGGCTCCATGGCCTCATGGAGCAAAGAAATGTTCCTGTGCACTCTGAACACTCTCGTCTCCGCGGGCGGCCGTCTGCTCCTCGCCTGCGGATCATACGGCGTAGAGCTCGTACACCTTCTTTACACAGTACACCAGGGCGGCGAGCGCTATCGTGTTGTGCAGTCTCTTTCTGTGCAAGTCGTCCTTGCGGACCAGCACCACCGGGGTGGAGGAGGTGAGTGTGTGCAGGGGCAGGCGGGACAGTCTGTAGGCGTCGTACTCCACCTGGTACTTGCAGCACGGGTCGAACTGCCAGGAGATCCCGTACAGGGTGCAGCAGGCCAGGCTCAGCACACCGGCAGGCAGGGAGATGTAGTGGGAGTAATCCAAGGGCAGCGCCAGCGGGGTGAAGAGGCAAGCAGTGCCCGCCAGCACGGTGGTCTTGTGCAGACAGTTGCCCACGGTGATCCAGCGCGCGGTCTCGTCGCCGATGCGGGTGGGCTCGATCACGATGTATTTGTACTGGGCTTCTAGGGCCTGCTCCAGCTCGTACTCAAACTGGTCCTGCGCGTTCTCCCCATTGTAGATCTCGTGCACGATGTAGCAGTCGGTGGCCGACAAGCTCAGCCTTGTAAGGGAGGCGGAAGAAAGACAAGTGTTAGGCTGGGAGCACCTGATGAACTTCTGTGCTGAGACCCGAGGAGGCGGCCACTGGGGAGTCTGGGCCTGGGGCTCAGCAGAGGGCAGCACACCTCACTCACGCTCTCTCTCCCTGAGAGCCCACATTCGAGACGATCAGAACTGTTTCCGAAAGAGTAAGATGACGGAAGAGAAGAAGATGCAGGAAAAGGGTGCCCTATCTCCACCTAAGGCCCGTGCTGGGCCTGGCAGCGAGTCTGACGCATGGAAGGCAGGTCTGCAGTCGGCAGAGGACTCCGAGGAAACGCCCCGCATGGCAGCCAAGGCTGGCAGGATGCGAGGTGCCCTCAGCTCATCAGGGCCGTTGCAGGAGGAGGCCTTCAGTGGGCCGGCAGACCCGAGGCGGGCACTGCCGAACACCGCCCTGTGCATGGCTCAAAGGGCTCACCTGTGGCCTGCACAGCACAAGGAAACAGGTCGCTCTTGCCCTGGGGGATGGGAAACTCCTGGCTCGGGAAGAAGCTGCACAAAGCCCCAGGCCCTCCCCAGGCCAGCACCCAGCACATGGCTTGGAGAAAGAAGCCCTTCGACTTGAGAAAAGACGATGTCTCAAGAACAGTAATAACTCTGACACCGAGTGGACACGAAGGACACTGGGATCCTGTGAGGGCCCGCTATGCCTGCCCGTCCTGATCCTGTAAGCCTGGCTGTGTTTACTGTCAGTAAAGGCTTCTCCCACTCACGTCAGAAACACTGCTCACCAGCGCTGCAAGCGGCTGAGCTGATCTGACTCCCTGGGACTAGGAGGGGTGACAGCAGCCTCAAAGCAGAGTCTCACCAAAGGCCTGGCTCCGCATCCAGGCCGGCAACAGGAACCACAGGCCAGGGGCATGCTAGGCCACTTCAGGGTCAGCCAGGCCCAGTGCAAACTTCCCATCAGAGCAGAATCTTCCCCCACCCGACGGGCAAACCTTACTACAAACCTGCACACACCTTGTCCTTTCCATTTGGCTTGTTTCAGCCTGTCCAGATCTTTCTGAATCTCCACACTGCTGTCCAGCACACACACAGTTTCTCCTAGTTCTGTGTTATCTGTTCATCTGATTAGAAGCCTTCGTTAGCCCATCCTCTGGCAGGGATGCTGCCAGACACAGCTCGAGGCCACATCAAGTTCCTAAATGCACATTATTATCAGGCTGTGCAGAGCCGTCTGTCACACACCTCAGCGAAAAGCAGCTCCTTGCCCTGGTCGGTGTGGCTCAGTTGGCTGGATGTCGTCCCGTGCACCGAAAGGTTGCTGGTTCGATTCCCAGTGAGGGGAATTGCTCGGTTAGTGGGCTCGATCCCTCATGGGGGTGGGGGGGCAGTGCAGGAAGCAGCCAATAGATGTTTCTCTCCCACCTCAATGTGTCCCTCTCTCCCTCTCCCTTCCTTTCTCTCTAAAAATATTAAAAAAAAGAAAAAAAAAAAGAAGCAGCAGCCCCTTTCCTTCAGCAACCCCGAGTCTTAGGCTGGTCAGACTGTCACAAAGCAGATGAGGCCCAGGGACCCCCATCTGGCTCCTCGTGATCACTGATCGCCCCACCAAGTCCACACCCCTTCAGCTGGGGCTCTGGGTCTATGTGCTGGGCCACAGCAGGGGGCCGTGACCCACCTGAGCTCCGACTGGTCTGCACAGCCCTAACGGCGCACACCTGGCCCAGCAGTTCAGAGGGCCGCACGCACACACCACCCAGAGGAAGCCGCAGGGCGCTGGCTCTGAGCCCCGCGCAGTGAGCACGCACACTTGGGAACAGGTCACACCCAGCCCTGGTCGGTGTTGCTCAGTGGTTAGAGCTCGGCATGCACACTGAAGGGTCTCGGGTTCGATTCCTGGTCAAGGGCATGTACCTGGATTGCAGGAGCAACCAATCAACGTGTCTCTCTCATATCTCTCTCCCCCCCTCCTCCCTCCCAACCTCTAAGAGAAAAATATCAATAGAAAAAATATCCCGAGTGAGGACTAACAACAAGGAAGTAAATAAAAGGTTATTCCCCTAGAATCTCTGAGCTCAGCATTAAGGTAGTCACAGTCCTCCGTCCAAGATGAAAGCAATCACGTTAGGGGCAAACGCTAAGGAAAAGGCCAGGGAGGGGCTCAGAGAGCGAGACTGTGAGGATGTACCACTTATGGTTCACAGGCAGGAGTCAGCATGGTACAAGCTACTCTCAGCAAACAAGCAAATCAAGAGGCAGGGTTCCACTGCAGTTGGATAAATGACCACTGCTCTCCTGTGGTCACACCACAAGCGAGAAGCCACTGGTAATGGCTGGCAGTGCACCAGGTGCAGTGGGGGGCCCTGGGGAGCCCACTGACAACAGGAGCCACCTGAACACAGCTGTAGCTGGGACCCCAGAGCTCAGGCCGAATGAGCTTTTTTACCCTAGAAGGGAACTGATTCAGCTAGGCTCAGGGAAGTCTCCTAATTAATCAAACCACAAGCCCCAATTAAACTGTGTGCACTGGGAGACATTCCCTGGGGGTCGGACAAGCCTCCCACACATGGGGTGTTGTTGCCACCCCGGCGCCAGGAGTCAGGGCTGCCTTTCCAGGTAAGCTAGTGAACCACTTCTGTGGGAACCACCAGAAGTTTATGAAAGAGGGAAAGTTGGGTTTTCCCTTTGAAGGCCTTTATGGAGTTTTTCCATTAGATTTTAATTCAGAGAGATAAATGGTAGGTCATTTCAATGCCTACACCTGGGCGTGGTTCAGCACTTTACAAGCCAAAAGGTGGCAAAGAAGAAAATCTGGAAGACGTCCCCATGAGACACGAAGGTCACTGGTCACAAGCTGCCTGCCCCCTAGTGTGCAGGGGCCAGAGGAGACGGGCACCCCTGGCCTAAGAGTTCCTGTGTTCTCAGCCAGGAGAGGCAGGAGGGAGACAGAACAAGGGAAGGGGAGGGTCACATCACTCTGGTCTGTGAGTGGAGGAGGCAGCCCTCTGGTCTGCCATCTGCCATGTCCTGTGAACTGTTGCAGGCTGGCCCGCCCGCCGCCAGCGCCTGAAACAAGCTTTCTGGCCAGAGCTCCCTGGAACTCTCAAAGCAACCTGGAGGCCTCCAGGCGGGGGCTACAGAACGTTCTTGCCAAGACCCACGTCTACCTGCGTCATGGAATGCCCTCCTCGGCCCGCATCCAGCCACCCTGCCATGAAGACGTGCCCTCACACCCAGTAGGCAGGTGCAGCTGGGACCACAGCACGGGAAGACTACTCCATCTCAGACACTCCCCACCCCACGCTGCCCACATCCGTCCCCAGCTCCCTGCTGCCCTGCCTCTGCAAGCCCCGCCCGTCCGCGTCCACTCAGGCCCGCCTTTCCAGCCCATCCCAGGGGGTGGGCTCCCTCCATCTCCTGCCACTCAACACAGACTCGTGTGTGTCCACAGGTCTCAGCAAACCCAGAGTGGTAGGAGGCCAGGGCCCTCCTCTCAGGTGCGCTGGTGTCGGCCCACGGCAGAGCGCCCGACAGGAGCACACCGGCAGGCAGCCACCCTGTGCCTGCAGCTGTGGCATCATGACCACTGCTCTAAGAGGCACGGGGCGACAAGGGCGCTCACCTCGCACACACACCCCTGCCAAAGCCGGCCCACCCTCGCAGACGACTCTCCAGTGTGCGCACAAGGCCTGGCCACACAGAAAGAACCTCCCAGGCCCAGCCTCAGTAGCCACCCTGCTGGGACTCACCAGTCCCTCGTGTGAGGCAAAGCCGCTACCCCAACTCAGGACAGGGACGGTTTCTCTGGGAAAGGATGGACTCTGAAGTCCAGGGCTCCGGATGACGCACGGGAAGGAACAGCAAGGCTCAGGGTGAACCTGGACACAACAGGAGACCTTGTCAGGCCACCCAGCCCTTCCACCTGGGCTGTGGCTGCTGACACAGCATCTGGCCCTGCGCCTGCCTCAGTTCTGCACGGCGGACAGACCGGTATTTCGGAACCTGCTGGCGGAGGACACCCTGGAGAGGGCCCTGTCAACACAGCCCGGACCTTGGCGCCCAGCACACAGTGGGCTTTGTTTCTGGGTCAACGGTAACCCTCCGAGGAGAGCACCTATAAGAAGGCTGCCCTGAACCACCTCAAAGCGACACCAGCCCACCCCCAACGTGGGCCCTAGCACAGGGCAGCAGAGTTTTAGAAAAGCTATTGATCCCAGGACTTCCTAAGAGACTGTATTGTAGCTTTTTATTGCAGTTGTGAAATGACCAGTAAGAGAGCACAACAGCCCTGGCTGGTTTGGCTCAGCAGTTGGAGCGTTGGCCTGCAGACCAGAGGCCCAGGTTTGGTTCCCGCTAAGGGCACCAAAAAAAAGAGAGAGCACAACAAAGAAAGTGTTTTAAAAGGAGGGAGGGAGGAAGAGAGAGAGATGCCCTGGCCGGTTTGGCTCAGTGGTTGGAGCATCGGCCCTTGGACCAATGAATTGTGGGCTTGATTCCGGTCAAGGGCACGAACGTAAGTTGCGGTTCGTCCTCGGCCCTGGTTGGGTCGTGTGGGAGGCAACCAGTGGATGTGTCTCTCTCACATTGATGTTTCTCCCTCCCTCCCACTCTATCTGGTGATAAACAGAAAAATATACTTGGGTGAGGATTAAAAGTAAATGAATGAATGAAAAGAGTGAGAGAAAGAAAGTGACAAGCACCAGTGTTCCCCGCGTCACCTCAAGGCATTTAAAAGGTGTGCATTTGCTTTCAAGTGCACAGAACCCCTCCGGACAGACAGACACCCGAGGGCTGCATCACTGGGGAGGAGAGGAAGTGCTCCAGAGACAAAAGGGGTTCTGAAGGGGGCCCCTTTTCACCCAGCGACTTCCGAACCTTTAGCACTTACAGGACAGGTTACACCCACGCCTGACAGCGCTGACCTGACGCTGCGTGCCGAGTCCACAACCAGCCCATGAGCACAAAACAGCCCGCGCTCCAGGGGCTGCTGCAGACACCGCCCGCTGACTGGGC